TGAGGACTGATTTCAAGCTTTATTTTTTCCCGAATATTTGTGATCCATCCAACATAGGCTTGATTCTTTTGTTAGTGCCGACATAATATTTTTATTTTCCCGATGTGCTACACTGACTGAATAATTAGCAGATTGTCCTCGCAAGTTTAAGTCAAAAAGAACAGCGACCCCATAAGTCTACTATAAACCAAATTTATGTAATTTAATTAACACTTATCTCTGCCTGTATAACTGGCGTGTTCCTATCTTTATGACGCGACTGCTCATTTACTTGTCAGCAGACTTAAAGGGGATTCCAAATACATTGGCATTTCTGGAGATTGCCTCACTTACTTTGCTAAGATATTGTATAACTGCCATATCACGTTGAGCATCATGGGATACATTTCCTATCTGAAATGTCCCATAAGTCCAGAACGAATTCTCAGACTTCTCCTTATCAAAATGCAGGCAGAATGGGCTCATGTAGCCGGCAGTATTTTGGTGACCTGTAGAGAGGCAGAGTTTGAGGATCTAGTTAAGATTATACAAGAGATAGCACGGGTAGTTCGAACGCGTTATGGAAAGTTACTTACGCGCAACGCAGACGCCAAGGAAAACAGGGCTGTAGAGAGACAGCATTCTGTGATTCACCGCGTTGTAGTTGTATTACAGAGCAACCTAAGGGTGTTCTAGGGAAATCTAAGGATTACACTTGTCTAAGGGCATCCATGGCCTGTTCGAGTGTTTCAAAATGAAGGACATGACCGTCGACGAGTGGAGGCAAACTGTTAGGAAGACAAATGTTTGTTATGTTCGCCTCAAATTAGGCCATAATACAAGATGTTATCCTTCACGAAATATGTGTAATGCGAGTGAATGCGAGGTTTGCCATCGCACCCTGCTACATTCGCAAAATAACAATAGGTCTGTGAATTCAGTAACACATTTTAGACATGAGAACAGAAATGTCGGCTATCCCCTTGAGGTAGGATTATCATGGAATTATGATAGCTTCAATATGCCAGACAATTATGGAATGGTAGACCGGAGGCTTGAGTGTCTCAGAAGACGTCTTTCTAGAGACAATGGCCTACTGGGTAGGTATAAAGAAGTAATGGCGAGAGACTTATTGAAAAGATACACTGTAGGACTGGTCGGAATACGTGCTTATCCGGAAACCGTAAAGTGGTGTGTCGATGCATTTGAAGAATGAACGATAAGTTCATGGCTGTTCACTCAAAACCAACTTCATATTTTGGCAGGAGTCGCCGATACTGCATTCATCGTTCCATCGTACGCTGTTCGTTATAAGACGGAGAAATACTGTCAGAAACTTTGTTTAGAATAACCTTATTGTTGTTTCCATATTGGTGCAAGAATAAAAGATTCTCGAGTCACTCATCTGTGTTCTGTTTTTTCGTGTTAGTTATTGCACATTGTTGCTGAAGGTTTTCTTAAGACAGCGTTAAGTCCGGTGTAGTTAAACCTGGACATTTACGTGGTGTATCCCTCATCGTCCGGTCATGGGTTCGAAAAAGTCTGAAGAGTTCCGAGTAGTTTCTGAACATGAGGCTAGATTTAATGGTATATCTTGGAGTGGTCATTTACTTTCGGGTCCAAATTGTGCCTTGGGGGCACAGCGGTTGGGACTCTCGCCTGCCATGCGCATGGAGTGGAGTTTGAAACCCTCCCGATGCACACCTGATACCAAAAGTCGGCCTGCAAATTTAGGCTACCGATATCATATGCTGAAAATTTCATACTTATACCGAAAATGCGGTGTGGAATCAGGCTATAATAAAAAAATATACTGTCAGCAGCTTTATTGAAATACTTTTACGCCTCCGAGCACTCGCCGCTGACACAGAAATGTTATTTAGGGCGAATATCCTGAAACAACTTCGTGAATCATTTCGCCTGTTTTGGTGGAAGGGTGGCAATATGACGAAAAATGCTTCTGAGTGTGTATTAACCGTTCACCCATTTATTTTCCTGTCATTAGCTTTCTGTGCTGATCATCCGCCAAAGAACTCACATGAATTATCTTTCGATGATACAGTCACCGTTTTATCTCAAATTTTTGGGGAACAGTCATCCATATTAATATTCGGTATCAGCGTTTTCAGTTAGCAAAAACACCTTTTGATGTTATGCCCCTTATGCCAGCAAAGTCAGCAGGGAATATGAAAGACTCAAGCCACACGGAATGACATCAGGTGTGTCGAAGCGTTTGATTTTTGTCTGTGGTTTGATGAGTCCAGAAGATTCTGACATTAGAACTCGACTTCCGTCACTCGCTGGACAAGACCTGAAAATGACTTTACAGTTGGTGGCAGCAGAATGCCAACGTGCCAAATGATTCTAAAAAATCATTGTTACCCGACATTCTTTATTAAATTGCGGATGTCTATGTCCGCGGTTTTAGGACTACTCGCTAAGCTAACAGTACGTTTTAAGGCGCCCCTGCTACCTGACAACCTGTTGTGTTTTGTTCGTTATAGAGGTGCTCGGATTAACGAAGCCGACATCAACCCTCTTCATTTGCGACTCCAAAGTGTATTTCTTACTTTGGATGATCAACTTTCTTACAGTTGTCGATAGATTCCAGTTGACATTGCGGATGAGCACGGCTGGAAGGCCTGACACCAAGAAAAATAGGCTGACCAGTAATCCCTGGCTTTCAGTTGTTCTTCAGCTGATACCAGTCCATAGTCAGATCTGAGACGAACCTAGCGATTCCATCTGCCTTCTGAGAAGTTGTCCAGCCTGAGCAGGATAAGCATCCTTTGTGTTGGACTACATACACTTCAGTTTGCATATGATTGCATCCTTTGGACTCGTCGATATTCTTTATCTTTTAAAATTTCATCTCAAATAAAATCGGAAAATTATCACACTTATAATGAGGCCAGTTTATTCAAAGTGTTAACTCACTTGTACTACGATATATATTGAAACAATGCTCTCTAATACAATCCACTCTTTAGCTCAGGGCTTCAGTTTTTGTCACCTCAGAAACAGTTCTTTTGCTTTGCTTAGCACTTAAATGTGACTCATCACCATCGGCGAATGTTTTCTTTTCTTTTCATTCTGAAAGTAAATAACTTCATTTGTGGACATGTGTAATGAATAAGAATGGCGTCAAACGATACAATGAAAATTGATGTGTATTTGACTGGAAACATGTCTTGTGGCCAAAGAATGCACACAGAAGACAGGATTAATGATGTATTAGTTTTTCTGAACTTCTCGTCAATCGACAGCTAATACCTACATCACTCATCGCTGATACATGTAGGGTAATAACATCGATTTTGAAGGGTGGACTGTCTTAATTTCTATTAGACCACTGAATACATGTTGTCTATATACTAAGGTATGACTAAGGGCCTCGGAGCCACCTTAGAGGAGATTTTAGGGGGGCGGCAGAGAGCAAAGTATTCAAACTTCTTGAATTTTTTCCTGCCACATTGAACAGAAAGTAGTATGCCTTTTTAAGGTTCACGAACATGTTTGCAAATACGTGGAATAGGACCTAACGTTGATATTGTGCTGTTATACAAACACAGCCACCGTAGAAAGAGTGAGGAGGATGATTTATAGACGTTGGAAGATTTCCTCCAACCTCTTAACAGGTAATTTAGAGGAGGATAGTGGAGGATAGTTACTGAGAATTCTAGTAGCAGTTCACAAAATGTTCTAACTTGCTTGGCACTTTTAATCCCTTTTGCTGTTTAATGTGATGCCTAGCAAACCAAATCTGCTACAGGAACCAAATCCTACCCCTACATCTAGTTGATCAGTTGTTAAGTATGAGATAACTGGCAGTCAAAACCAAGCAGTAAATTTTCCACTGCTTAATGCCCTTTGGTTGAATACGGCCGCGTCATAGCGAGCGACGAATTTCTTCTTAGGATAGAATCCAGTACCTACCGTTTCACAAGATTAAAAGCCATCAGCAGGCGCTGAGATACAAAAGCCATATCTCCAAAGACTGGAAATCGACATTTCAACGTCCATCAGGCACTTCACTTCATAAAACCAATGGGCTGGGAATCGAGAGTGTTCAAGAAAAAAAACAGGTTAGCCAATCACTGATGGATATCTTTTCCTGTATCATGAAACCACATAGGTGGGTGGGTTACTGCACCCAACGTGAGGAACATCGGGATCGTGCTTTTTGTATACGTGCTCAAAGAAAATGTAACCCCTGCAGTTGTGTATTTTACCGTAAGATATTATAGTTCTGGCTCAGGCTCGGAATCTATGCGCAAGCAGTATTGTCGTGTGCACTAAAAAACTTGAAGATTTGGTCCCAGGGGCTTCAGTTATTTTGTTCAAAAATGCAGGATCACAGGTAATTGATAGAAGCGTCACTAAACAGTTACAAGCCCGATTGGGATAGGAAGACTTTCTTCTCCATCTAAAATGAGACGCAAGAAATGACCTTCGTAAAAGAGACTTTAGAGGCTGAAGGTAATGACGTTCACGGATAGTACGAAGTATACTAACCGAATATCTAATTTCCACAAATTTTAAAGTTTTCGTTCCGCGTAGATCAAAGGTGAACCAAAACACAAGAATTGATCGTCCATATTACGAGTTATATTTCGAAACCAAATCTGAGTGCGAGATGATTACTTAGCTGGGTAGTGATCGTGCACGAATGTGACACGACGGAGTACCAAATGGCGTGGATGCTTGGACAGAAGCCTTCAGCTAAACAAGTTGTCTTAAACAGTGAGGACCAGCATCCGATTATCAGAGATGAATGCTGTGGTCAATAATTCAGGTGAATTTCCTTCAGCTATTTGACGTATACCGCAGCACTTATATTCCATCTAATATATCCCTGCCAAATAGAGTTGAATCTGACCCTCAGAACATAAGCAGCCTGTCTAAACATCGTAGACGAAAAGCCGCCTTTTTTCGAAGAAGTCGACTTCATCCAACTTTTACTAATAGAATTGATGTGACAGACATGTGGACATTCGAGTGTTGCGTTACAGCTTGTTAGGATGGCGGCTGTTATTCAGGCCCCTTCACGACAAACCCTTAGACCTGAGTTGGTTTTTAAAATTGATGGACTAACTAGCAACGTGAATGATGCAATTTTCATTCCTGGTAGAGACTCAATCGTAACAGGGTCGGAGGATCGGTAATTTAGATTGGTTAATTAGTAATAACTGAACGCCGCATAGTACATTGAGAATTTGGGTTAGAAGAGAAACAGGAAAGTTCTGGCCGACGGTCATTGAATTGTTACCCAGTATGTTTTGTGAATTCTCGTTTCAGAATTTCAGGTCCTGTAACATGCATCACATATGCATCTGCGACACAGAAATTATTTGCTGGTTTAGAAAATGGAACTGTAGTAGAATATGATGTTTCTGGAGATCTGAATCATGTGGAGCACAAAAGAGATTATCTTTCACATACAGCAAGGGTAAACGGAATAGTATGCACACCAGATATGGGTTGGATTGTGTCAGCTTCAAAAGATCGTACAGTTGCTTGGTACTCAACTAGCAGTGGAAGACAAATATGCTTACATACCCTGGAGCACTCGGCAACATGCTTGGAGTAAGTTAATCGTATTCCTTAGTGAAATGAATTGGTTTTCTCGTGGTGTCGTTAGACATATAGCAGTAAGTCAAACAATTCGAAGCAGTTCACGTCCCCGTCATATATTCGGCATACACTACTTTAACTGTAAATTCACTTCACCTTCGCAAAACGACAATTTTGCTACAGTTCTGCTTGAAAGTCTGTCTGTATAGTCTGTCTCACTAAAATAATAGATGCCACGGTCATTAACCGTGGATCTGAGCATCCAATGTAATGTTCGACATATTAACTGATTACTTTATTAATCATGACAGCAGAATCAGAAAAAAGCACTCTTATAATTGCAATATGTTCACCAGACAGTTAACCATTCAAGTGACTTCGTTAACTGTATAACTGAGAGGAATGTAAATCTAATAACCTTTGGTGCTGTATTGTATTGGGAGCTTAAGTGGTTTACTGATTGATTTGGTGTATAGTTAATTTAAGTCCTGAATTTGAACACTATTGAAGAATATGATTCCATATAGACTGGATTTATTTGATGTAACACAGTTGTTAGTCTTGCTTCTGTGTTTTTTTTCAAACGAAATTATATGATGCAATTATCTAGGCGAATACAAGTTCCACAAAGCAACTAGAAGAGTATTTGGTAAACTCACTAATTTTATATGTATTTGCAGATTTTTTATTTGTGCATACTGGACTACATGATACCATATATTTCGTTATTATTACCCATTGTCTTTTTCACAATGTTAGGCTAAATGTTCATGTAAACCGCAGAAAGCTACTGGGATATTAGAATTTGAGCACTGGTGAAACATAGTTGCTTATTACATAAGTTTAATATAATGGATGGAAATCATATAAATAATAAGGAATTTCAGGCCGTGATAGCACTGCTGAATACCCCTTAACTGTGTGGTCGAGGATACAGATAATATTAGGAGATCGGGGCCAGTCAGATTATCTCTGGAGCTAGAATGATTGACCTTCTTAAGTAGTCTGGGGCAAAATGGCTGGCCATCGCAATGCATTTGCTGACGTGTAATCAACCAAATGGTTAGGATTGGTTACAAGTAGTAAAATGTAATTTAGTTAGTAAAAAGATGTTAGTCACTGAATCTTAGTTTATTGAATCAACATCAAACACATGTAGTCGAAATGATGTAACGCCTATACCGGATGTGCGGAAAGTTGCAGCAAAAGATATTAAGGGGTAGGACCAAATAAAGTAAATTATTAAGTCGTGTGAATGCATTGATATGATTATGAGTAATACATTGTGCTTGGAACGTCGCTCAGCTATCAATTCTGTATCACTGTATTATAACAAATAAACCTATATAACGTAGAAAGGTAACAAGGCGAAATCGTGTTCCTTGTGTATTATTTTAAATGTAGGTACGATGTTGGTTCCCATTATGTTTTCGTTGGTGATAGTAGCGGTCGAATTACTCTTTTGAGCATCAATCAAACCAATGGTCAGGTACAGTGTCGTGTCATTCGTGAACTGCGTGGTCATGAGCACTCGGTAACCTATCTTGCTTGGGACAGCACAAATTCGCGTTTATTTTCTTGCAGCATTGATCATTCAGTCATCTTTTGGGATATTGGTGGTGCTAAGGGCTCGGCTTTTGAATTGCAGGTAAGTGTTTTTATTTCTTTTTGACGTATATACTGTAACTGTCAACTGTCATGCTCGAAATGGTGACTATGGCTATGATAGTAATAATCATAGTCAGTGCGCTATTATGGCCAGTGTGTTCTTTGAGATGTAGTATTTGTTTTTACGGTATTAGCTGGATTTGAATATGGAGGTTTAAAAAGGTATCAGTTTCGGGTTTTCCCATCAGTTTCACTTTGGGATCAAGACAGTGTTTTCTATGAGAATTAGTTTCATTGTTTTCTGAACGTCTTGTGACAGTACTTTATTTACTAAAGCACACAAACCTGCTTCCGTGGATATCAAGACCATTAATTACCCCGGTATGTTCTCACATACCACAAATAAATACTTTTGTAAAACGTTAGCTACCTCATTTAATGGGTTTCCAACTAGCTACATTTCGAGTCCATACCTTAATTATTCGATTTACCGACTAGTAACCCGTTTGGCAGTAGACGACAAGAATTCTTATTGCATTTATTGTCGTTCAATACTGTCATTGTGCATACTATAGCTGTCTGTCAAATCCTCCAATGATGCCATTCAATATAGGCCATAGTTTATATTTGCTTAGGTCTTAGTAAGTTGACTAGTTGTTGTCAAGTGCTGTCTCTTGAAAAAATTCCAAGCGTAGAATGAAACTCACTAGTATCAGACAGATCAGGTTGGTGTCATATCTCTTTAAAAGTCCTGAAGGCAAGAGATGCGTAGAATGTACATGTAACAGTCGATGGTATAGTACTTGCTTACACTGTGATTTTAATGATTAGTTTTCTGACTTACTCCCTATAATTATCAAATTCAATAAATACCTGTTTCATGCACAAATTCCGCTCAATAAATTTAAACAAATCACTAACAACTCTGTGTACAAATAAAAGGAATCCATTGTTTATCCTGATGTGTATTTGAAGTAAACGAGACTCTCTTTGCTTCAATTCACTAAACGTAGAATTGCCTGAATTACTTCACAAGGAGATCTTTTAGCATTTTTGTGACTCCCTTTCCAGTTAGATTACTCAGGTCATTTTTGTGGATGTCATTGCCGAATTTCCGAGGATTTTGTAGGACCGAAGTTAACATTGGCCACTAAAAAGTGGATCCGTTTTAATTTGCATCTTGTGTCGTTAATTTTGTTCAAAAACACCTATTTATGTTCTGTAGGTATTCTCCCTCCACCTACTTTCAATTTTATCTTGAGTATCACTGTTTAGATAAGTTTCTTTTGGATTATCTCTTAATTTGATAATGTACAATGTAGTAACTTCAACCGATGAGCAAATATTGATAGTTTTCAATTAGTCATTATTGTACAGGGTGTGTTGACATCTTAATATTTCCATCTTATTAATTCATTTGTGTACAGGTATTCCACTGTCGACTAGTAAGTCCTAAAATAGATAAGGTGTGGTTGACTGGTTTCAACATAGAACTTTGCACAGAAGCAGCAGTTCGAGTTGCCACACTCCTTGTAACACACAAGGTAAAACAAGAAAGAGATTCGAAGGAACAGTAATAAGCAGAAATGTGAGGAAGATAAATAGTAACATGGAAAAACAACAGGGTTTTGAATAACTTGGTAGACCACAGAGAGTGGATGCACCTGGGCTATTGAGAACGATTTCGAGTCATATCACTAATTTTCTCTGGCCATTGCTATCTCGAGGACCTCAACCAGGTAGGCTGCACCTCCCAGTGTGGCTCAAACTAACTGTCAGAGATTTCATGAATTGATACCATGTTTCGGTTCGATCACCACTAGCTCTTTTCCAACCTGATCCGATGTCTGCTAACATTTCCCGTAGAGGAATGAGATGGCTAAGCAAGCCGTAATTCATCATACAGATTTAATGCTTCAGGTTCTTTTACTATGCTATTAATTAGTCTGCTCAGTAATAAAATACTGCATTTGCTGTCCTCTTCCATTTCATTGATGTGCTAGGTAACTCCTCATCAAGAAATGGCAATGATTTAATTGGTGTCGACTTTCAGTTAAAGTCTGAACCTTACATAACACGGCACCTCTTATATTTTTGTTAGTATTGTGTAATTCTCATAACCATAATATGCATTCTTATTAAGGGGCATACGAAAGAAGTGTCTTCAATATACTGGTGGAGTATGGGCGATTCTTTAACCAATGTTAAAGATAATAAATATAAGGGACTGCTTATATCCGGTGGTCTTGATGGATATATTATTTTTTGGGTAATGGATCCTTCGCGTATTGAAACTCCAAACTGGTCTGAATCAGATATTTGTCATATCTGCAGCGGCCCGTTTTTCTGGAATGTTCGTAAAATGTGGAACAACATGTCAGTTGGCGTGCGCCAGGTTTGTTCATTTTTTAACAGCAATGATTTTGCATAAAATATTAATGTATTACGAGCAATATTTCAGTGTTTTAAGTTACTATACCAGTTTTTAACATATTTTCCGGGAACTGTTTATTAAGATCATATGTCTGTCTGTCTGTTTTCGACATAGAACTTTGCACAAATGTGCGGAAGTTCAAGTCGCCACATTCCGTGTAGCACGCGAAGCAAGAGAAGAAAGTACAAGAAAAGCATAATAGAAACAGTGAGCAGAGGTGTGAGACAAAGGAGTAATAAAGAAATACAAAACAGTTTCATTGGAAATCATAAGTCACAAGGAGTGGATGCATCTGCGCCACTGAGAACGGTTTTGAGCCATGTCACCAATTGTTTCCAACCATAGATTTTTACCGTCTCGAGGACCCCAGCCTGGAAGTCTACACCTTCCTACGTGACTGGCTTAGACCAACTGTTGTGGATTTCATTGACTGGTGCCAAGTTTTTGTTTGACCGCCGCTAGCTTTTTTCCAGCCTGACCCTATATCTGCTAACATTGCTCGTCGAGGGAGGCGATGGCTTGGCATACGTAACACATGTCCTAACCATCTCAGTCTTTGTAGCTTCACGACTTCGTCGATTGATTTCCCCTGTTTACCTAGAACTCTACGCCTAACCTCCATGTTGCTCACCTTATTATGCCACTTCACACGGGAAATAGAACGCAGGCACCTATGATCAAAGATCATATATATATTCCAAGTTCTGATCTCGTGTACCTTTTCTAGTCCTTTTTTATTGCTAGTTATCTTCGTAGAACCACCGTTTTATTTTATGCGGCAACTTAGAATCGAAGACGTGTCACGTGTTATGTCGTTTTCAGTTTTGTATACTTTTGTTTGTAACGTCTTTTTAAAACAGCAAAATAGAATTAATTTATTTTACTTCAATCAGCTGCAACCACGTAGTTGTTCCCAATAAATTCAGCTTACTGCGCTATTACATATATACTCCGTCGTGGTGTTATCCCATTTCAGGTTCATTGACTTGTAACCTTATATTCCTTAGGATTAAGAAGTTCCCATTTTATGCAAAAATCTAAACGAACGCATAGAACTTATACATTACTCATCAGTTAATGTTTGAATATTGAAACTAACAAAGCCTAACCACAGTCTTGGTATCCGTTCATTTTATGTTCTTAGATCCTTGTTGCCAACTTTGTCTAGTCATCGTGTTTGTGCTCGTTTCTTCACTTGCAGAATATATTTACTGGACTTAAATTCATTTTTCGTGTTAATAACTGTCTGTCTGTCTGGATTCAACATAGAACTTGGCACCGAAGTGCAGCAGTTCGAGTTGCCACGTTCCAAATAGCACACAGAGGTAGACAAGAAGATGAGTTAAGAGAATTAACAGAGTTTGACAAATATAAGAGTGAAACAGAATGGGTAATGGTAGAAAGAAATATGAAAGATTACAGAGATTGAATACATCTGCGCCATTGACAACGATTTTGAGCCATGTCACCTATTGTCTCCAGCCATTGATTCCTAGAGTCCCGAGGGCCTCTTGTATAAAAGTAATCTATTACCTCGTGATTAGGAACTTATATTTTCCTTTTTTTCAGCATCATTGTCGCCGATGTGGGCATGCAGTCTGTGATAAATGTTCGCCTTATCGTTCAACTTTGCCTTGTATGGGATTCGAAAGGGATGTTCGTATTTGTAATCAGTGCTTCCCTTCAATAACTGACTCCGAGTAAGCAGTTTATTTAAGAAAGAAAATAGTCAGACTATATATTTTTTTTACAAAGAAAAGTCTTATTGCTGTAGGGTTGATAGTTACTTATAGCGGATGTTTTCATCGCTTTTTTATTCATTTCAGCTAACTTATTGATATTAATTTGTGAGTAATATTTGTCAGCACACAGGGGATGGAACGCCTTAACATTCCTAGTTGTCAGGTTACGCAATTCGCCCAGCGTCCAAGATTTCGTAACAAAATTTAATAGAAATTTGAAAGAACTTATATATGCATAAATATGAAGGGGATTTAACGCTTCTTAGAGGGCATCTTCCCTAGTCTCCAGAGGCTTTAATTTTTTTGCAAATGTCTGTCTCCGCAACTTTATGAGACACGACAATTTCTCTCCATGAAAACATCATAATTTAAAGTATTCATAAAATATTTTAATTCATTTTTAAAATGGTAGACACCATCATACCTAAATAATCTCTTTTTTTAAATTTCTTAGTCGTCGAAGTCTTGCTGTTTTGTTCGATGCGCGTCATCCTGTTACATGTGTTCGAGTGGAAGAATCTTTGAATCTACTTCTTACTGTCGGTAAAGATCGAATCATTAAGGTAATTGCATTAGTTTGATACTTTCTCTGATTGTGTCAGGTTTAAACATTTAAGTTGAGATATGTTCACTATTTATTATATATTGTTTTGCATTGTCCACGCTCTTAAGCATATGAGAGCTTGTCTTCCCAAGGGGTCATGACAAAACTTTTGCATCAGACCCTCCTTAAGTGGAACATGCATATCATAGTTTAGAAAACATTCTAACGTTTGTTAAGATTATGTGTTGTAGTTGTTTAGATGTGTAACAGTTTTTTTTTAAAGTCAACATTAATCATATTTGTTTATTTAATATTTTCAGGTGTGGGACATCAAAGCATTTTCTTCGAATTCGCATACATGAGCTATGGTTGTTGTTATATCTGATATTTTCGTCTGATTCATTGATTTGATTATTTCTTATGTTCAATGGAACATAAACCCCCGTGATTTGAAAAACTTTTCTTATCTTCACAATGTCACATAAATTGCTTTGGATATGTTTTATTATACCTCATTTTACAATTGATTTTTGACCATTTATCACAAAAGATATGGGCATACACATTTATATTTCTTTTCTTTATGACATTTAAATTACTGTACATATCAGATGCTCTGGTGTCTTTCTAATCTCGTGTAAAATTATTACTTAACATTGAAGTCAATCTTTTTTAACCCTTTCTCACTTTAGAAGTGGACTGACTTTCCGGCGTAGTTTAAGTTGCCAAACTCCGTATAACGTATAAATTTAACGCAAAGTAAACTCTTAAAGGAACCATAGTGAACGGAAGTAAGTGGGAGAAAGAATAATTACATGGAGAATTGGTTGGAGCCAGGATTTCATAAAGATTGAGTGCATCTTCACCATTAAGAACGGTTTCTATCCAATTCACCAACAGTCGCCCGTCATTGGTTCTAAGCATCTTGAGGTAGTACACACCATGCATGGCTCAAACAAACTGTCAAAGACTTCGTGGGCTGGTGAGAGGTTTTGGTCTAACCAACTCATCGACTTACCCTCAGAACTAACACTTTGCCTAACCTCAATACTACTAACCGTATTATACCACTAAACACGGGAGATAGGACCCAAACATCTGGCGTCAAACACAGTTAAGTTTTTCTTATCTTCCACTTTCGATAACCATGTCTCACAGCCTTAAAGAAGAATGGAGTGAGTTTTTACACAATGTACACGTCCTTTGATCGGTAGCGAGATATCACGTCGACGCCGGAGACAACTAAAACTGACAAATACCACGACCGTCTTTGGTATCTGTGCTAAGACTTCGTCAGCGATCAGTCCATTGAGGCTGATGCGACTTCAACACGTCCTACCACTTTCCTCGAAGCTGTGTCCGTATGAAGGTCTTACCGAAAACCGTGGATCTTTGCAGGGTATTCCAAGATATACAGTTTCCGAATTCAATCTTCTCCATTCCCTCTTCCCAGAGTGGAGACAGTACAGCCAAGCTGCCGGTCGTCTGAGGGGAACAGTACGACTTTTCCCTCACCCACAACATACTGTGGCCAACTACCATGATAACTGCTGTCCAGACGACTTTTTTGGCATTTTATTTTCTGCAGGTTAGTTAGTTAGCTGAGCTACTATGATATGTGAGTCCGAATTCCACGTCAAGTATCAACAGTCAATCGTGTCGTTCATTTGGTCCGAATTCACTAAACTTTGGATTTCGAACCACACAAGTTTATCCTAAGTCAGTGCTAGTCGACGTAAGTACTCTGATCCGTTCTTCATAGGGATCTAGTAGAATTACGACCAATTTGAGCGGACTGTGACTCAAATAATAGCAAGTGACTTAACCTTTCCTGTATGCTTCGATGATAGCTGTTGATGTAAATCGACGACTTTTGTCTTGAATCTTTCTGCGTTTAAACTAGGTGTGTGACGAAACGTAATCTCCACTACTGCATGTTGGAGTTTTATGAGATCAAAACCCTATCGATATTTTATTTTCATATGTGCTAGTCGTTCTTTTTAACAGCAAATTATGAACTTTATGGGGAATCAATCACAACTGCTAACATAGGAATCAATGGTAGTCAGCGATTTACCGTTTGTCCCAGCCACCTTAAGTGGCGACGGTTTATAACTTGAATGTCTTAGCTAGGAATGTACGATTAACTTTTAGATTGCTAATGAGTGGGTGAGACTACGACAGACATGAGGATCCCCGACCGAAAGCTGCTACCTTGACGTGGTGGTCGGGCTTGAACACCGCAATGACCTAATCAAGCTATACTGGCTGAGACTTATGTCTCTTGAGGTCTACCATGCCAGGCAGGTTGTTTGGATAGCGGTTAAACAAAAAGCAGCTACCCAATCCAACATCATGTCCAATACAAAATCACAAAATTTCATGCCGGATCGGCCGTGGCCCGGATTAACAACGACCGCGCTTCCTGCTGCCGTGTCACAGGGCAGGAGTGATAAATATGCTACTGAGACACACCAAACAAAAAGAAGAAACAAAAACAGGCCGCGTGTGACCGGCCTCAAGCAGTTGTCCCCTGGGCTCTGCGGTCACGCAACCAACTTCCACGGTGTGGGCAGCCGGGAAGTAACAATCGCCCTCACAATCCGAAATGCACACGAAACCTCTCTATTACTCACTCATCTTTGTCTTCATCTCTACTATCTTGCCTTCCTTCCACTGATGCAACTCCTCGACTTGATAGCTCTCCACTTCCTCTCCACTCTGCGTCCACTAAAAACGATGGAAGCCAAAAAACCACCACCGACAGCCTCTTAAAGCCGCGCCACCAATTTCATATAGGAGCTCTTAATGTTAGGACACTTTGCCAAATAGGACAACAAGCATCACTAGCCAAGACCCTGGCATCACGAGCCATTGATGTATGCTGTGTTTCAGAAACACGCATACAAGACCCAAGTGTGGTTATTCACCTAACCCCACCTGGCCAACAGGTTGAATCTGCAAAATTCACCTTGAGGGTGTCAGGAGATGCCACAGCTAGTTCACGAGGATTAGCTGGCGTAGGGATAGCTTTGAGTACTAGGGCAGAAAAGACATTGCTTGACTGGATCCCGGTAGATAGCCGAATGTGTGCTGTCCGTCTGAACGGATCAGTAAAAAGGAGAAAGGACTGCACTACTCGCCGATGCCTTTTCGTAATCTCCGCCTACGCCCCCACTGACTGCAGTTCAGATGAAACGAAGGATGAGTTCTACCAAAAGCTGTCTAGTTTGGTGCGAAAGGCTAAACGCTCAGACATAGTCGTTCTAGCTGGTGACTTTAACGCTCAAGTAGGGAAATTGTGTCAATCTGAGAAGGATGTCGGTGGCACCTATGGAGTTCCGTGCCAGCGAACCGACAACGGTGACCGTCTCCTACAGTTCTGCTCTGATAATCATTTGTTTCTTGTAAGCACTAACTTCAAACACAAGGAGAGACACTGTTTGACTTGGAGACCCCCTTCATCAAACCAACGCTGGACACAAATAGACCACATAGCAATAAGCTATCGTTGGCGTGGGTCGGTAGGAGATTGTCGCTCCTTCTGGAACACGTGTGTAGATACCGACCATGCACTGGTCCGCGCTCGGGTGTGCTTACGACTGAACGGACGTAGGAAACAGCTGGCGGTAAAACCATCACGTCCCCAGCTCGATCAGGAAACTAAATCCGTATTTGAGGAAGAACTAGCTAAACACATATCTGTGTTCGACAGCTGTGCTCACCCTGAAGAAGCTTGGAAAAATATCCAGGCAGCCATAGATACAGCTGTAAAAGCTGTGAATAAGGTAAACCCAAAGGTGAGTAAAAACCACTGGATCTCCACCGCCTCATCCGAACTGATAGATGCTAGAAGACTTATTCCGGCGAGCTCCGAATTCAATGAGGAGCGAAAGCTGCACAAGAGGAAACTTACGAAAAGTCTCCGCAAGGACCGTGAACAGTGGTGGGCGACAAAAGCCAAAGAGATGGAGAAAGCTTCGAGGATAGGCAACACCAGGCAACTCTTTAGACTCATCAGGGAAACGGGTGGGAGAAGACAAATCATTAGTGAGACAATCTCGGAAAAAAATGGCACTATAATTAGCTCCCAGGATAGACGACTGGATCGTTGGAAAGAGCATTATGAGGAGCAGTTTAATTGGCCCACAGCCACGCTCAACCTTCCGAGCATCCAACACCTCCCTGAATGGGATATAGACACAGGTCCTCCGTCCCTAACTGAGGTTACTAAAGCTGTCACCAATCTGAAACTAGGCAAAGCAGCGGGACCTGATGGAATGACTCCAGAGGTATTTAAGTACGGTGGAGACAGCTTACTGTCTGCGTTAACTGAGGTACTAGGCAGCGTCTGGGAATCAGAAGAAGTCCCATCGGGTTGGTGTAAGTCACTGATTATCCCCATATACAAGAAGGGAGACAAGTCTTCCTGTGATAATCACAGAGGGATTAGCTTGACTAATATAGTATCTAAAGTCTTAGGCTCAATAATCATGCGTAGACTGAGTGGTGCTCGGGAGGCACAAACACGAGAGAGCCAGGCAGGCTTTAGACCAGGAAGAGGGTGTATTGATCATATCTTCACCCTCCGACAGATTCTAGAACATAGGCATTCCTACCGGCGTCCAACAGTCATTATATTTCTTGACCTAAAGGCAGCATTCGACTCTGTCGATCGAGAAGTTCTCTGGAGATGCTTGGCTGTAAAGGGAATTCCGAGAAAATATATTGCACTGATTAAGGCACTCTACTCGTACTCATACAGCCAGGTGAGGGCTTACGGCGAGCTGTCATCTGAACTGATGACGACCAGTGGTGTCCGTCAAGGATGCCCATTATCCCCTTTTCTATTCAACTTCATCATAGATGTGTTAATGGACTTAACCCTAGGTGACTTCAGCGACTCAGGGATTGACTTGCTACCGGGAATAATCTCGTTGACTTGGAATATGCAGACGATATAGTCCTTCTAGGCGAAGACGCTGACGAAATGCAGAGTCTTCTAAACACCTTGAGCCGCAATCTACGAATGTTTGGCATGCGATTCGCTCCCGCCAAATGCAAGATGATGTTACAGGACTGGACTACATCGACGCCTAGTTTAAAAATAGGAAGTGAAGTGGTAGAGCACGTTGACCGCTTCACTTATTTGGGAAGTACCATCAGCCCCAACGGGTTGATCTCTGACGAAATCTCAGCACGAATACAGGGGGCTCGTTTCGCATTTGCCAGTTTACGCCGACTCTGGCGTAGACGAGATGTTCGACTATCGACCAAAGGGCGGGTGTACTGCTCATCAGTCCGCTCCGTCCTCCTTTATGGTTGTGAGACCTGGCCACTGAGAGTGGAAGACATGAAAAGA